ATAACGGGAGACAATACAACAACAATACAGTTCAATACAAGAGGGTTAGGAGATACAGCTGGATAATAATTATTAAATTAATTATTTTGGGTACAGTGTTGCATGACCAAGTAATCATGGATCAGCTGTCTGTATAGGATGGTATATACAGTATCTCACAATTTTGTAAATATTTTATTGTATCTTTTCATATGACAACACTGAAGAAATGACACTTTGCTACAATGTAAAGTAGTGAGTGTACAGCTTGTATAACAGTGTACATTTGCTGTCCCCTCAAAATAACTCAACACACAGCCATTAATGTGTAAACCGCTGGCAACAAAAATGAGTACACCCCTAAGTGAAAATGGCCAAATTGGGACCAAAATGTCAATCACTTTAATGGTATTTCTGCCTGCCTCGTAGGCAGCCACCCTATTCAGTAAGGTTCCACTTGCAAATTAGATCTCTTCTATATACAGGGCAAAGAGCGGCTGGGCAAGAGAATGAAGAATGTAGGCTGCTGAAGAATTTGTGGCAGAGTAGAAGGTGACAGTATTGATTTTTGGCAAGTCAAAATGTGCATATAATTATTACAGGCTGAAACTGGGCACGGAAATATTGGGTGGAAAGCATACCACATGCATACTAAGCATATACACGCTTACTTTTGTAAAGTGCTGTGCAAACTGTTGGCGCTATATAAATCCTGTATAATAATAATACCTCAGGCATTATGGAGTAGCAACAAGTTTACTTATACAGTACTTTGATAAAAAACATCGTAACAACCGTAACAACGACATTCAGTTTGCCTAGATACATATTAGGTCCTGTTCACATCTGCAGTTTTGTGTTCAACATGTGTTTCTGTCAAACTCAATGTATCGCCTGTTTTTCTGGACACTGCATCAAACATACAACTGCAGGATTTTTTCCAAGTGCACCATAACAAATCTAATCTTGGACAGAGCCTTGGTGAGTTAAAAGGACCTCTTAATGTTCCCATTCAATGTGACATGGAGTAAAATAATTCATGAACATGGAGTAATATACTTCTCTAGTCCAAGTTATTTTTTTTTTCCACTGTAAAATATATTAGTTGTTTAATTTGCCCCTTGATAGCTTTTGTTTTTTATATAACAGTATTGATATGGCTACCACACTTTCCTTGCAGTGCTAGGGTCTAAGGCTAGGTTCACATATGTGCGGGTGGTGCCGCTGCGGATCCGCACAAAAATCCGTGCAGCCGCACCTCCTGCACAGAAGAATGCAGACCCGCGGGTGGGTGCCATTAATTCAAATGGCACGCCGCTGGCACTGGAAATCGCAACCATACTGGGAGCCGAGGTTCCTGTGCAGGCTACGTTTTCAGAAAAAGTACAGGGACTTCTTCCCTGCGTGTCCCAGGGCACAGGAGTCCATTCAAATGAATGGGCACTCGTGCCTGCGCAAAATGCGGACCGCAGGAACGCAGATATGTGAACCAGGGGTAAGTGCATTTCCAACCAAGGACACTCTCTACATAAGCGAATAGGTACTCCTTGTGCTTGCATGGGCTTCCTCCAAAGACAATAGTTTTAACTCAAGATCCAAAACGGATAGGTTTCCTGGCTTGGTAGAGACTTTAGTATGCAAGTTCCCTCAGGGGACAGGCACTTGCATTAATGGCAAAATATCAGCACTATATAAGTTGATTAAAGTGATCCTGTACTGCCCCATATAAAACTAAAAGAACATTTACATAGTAGCCATCATAAATTGCCAGATCTTACCTGCAACTTTGCTAGAATTCTCTTTAAAGTTCAGCAGAGCCAAAAGATCCTATGTTTTTTTTTCTCAGATGCTGAATGCTGTCACATTACATACAATGGAAGCAAAGAACCCTATTGAAAATTATTTATTTGAACTGCAAGTCAGATCTGGCATACTATTGAGCCTACCATACAGCTTTACCTTTCTTTATGCACATTGTCTGGCAGTACAGGGACAGTTTAAAGGGTAACTCCACTTTCGAGGGGGGAAAAAAAATCAGCAAATTAAAAAAAAAAAAAAATATAATATATATATATATATATATATATATATATATAAAAATGTCATTGCAATTCAAATCATATTGTAATTGAATGTTATTAAAAAATGACCTTTTTCTTTTCAATCTGCAGCACTGCAATTTTCTGTAAAATGCAATGCAGTATGGCTACCTGGAGGACCCTGATACTTTCCTCATTAGAGCCCTGCTGGTGCAGTAGATGATTGATAATTATAAAACCACTCCCATACAGATTCACTCTGCACATGGACACAGAGAAGTAAACCACTTTTTCTCGAGAATAACAAAAGTTAGGACTCTGCAACAAAGTCAGTTAACATCCTTGCATTGTACATAGATCACCCAGAGGGCAATGTTTTGGTTTTTTTTCAACAAAAGTGGAGTTACTCATTAAATATAAAAATATGGTGATTTTATTCTCTCTTTGGTAAAATAAATTCTGCATGCATACATTGACACGGTGCATTACTCAATCTAATGCTGTTGGCTCCCTTAGGCCCTGCTCACAAATACCGCAGTGACCTGCATTTTACCACACTAGAAGAATGCAAGGCACCACAAGGACACATAGAAAACCGTCATTTTCTTTGTGTCCTGTTCACACTACAATGCTGCTGTCATGTGCAGTGAGCTGTGTCAAAATGCTACACGTGGGTTTTACATTCTTTCCAGGATCTTCAAAAAGTCCATGCCTTTTTAAACCAGCTTTTTATGGCCATTTACAAATCCACCATTATGCCCAATATTTGATGAAATCTCTTCAATTTTCTCATTTTCTGTTTGTAAATTTGGGAGATTAGCCCTTTGAGAGAATTTTCTTGAATGGCCCATCAAGCAAAGGGCTAATCTCCTTATCTTCCCATCCCCTACGAAGCATGTTTATATGCAAAAATGGGAACAAATTTTGGGAGAGACACTACCTGCTTGGCAGACAATATGGATTCAGGAGGCAAAGAGTTCCATTTGCACCCTATATAAAGAGAACCGATATAAGATACTTTTTCACTGGTACTATACCCCTGATCAGCCTTGGTCTATTTATCCCACCGCAGATGACAGATGCTGGAGACGTCGGAATAGTCTGAGAACGCTCTCACATATTTATTGGTCATGTCCACTCAGTGAACCTTATTGGCAAGCAGTTCATATTGTTATCCTCTGAGCCTTTGATCACTGGATCATGTTTACCTCTAAAACCTTCCTCTTGGGGTTACCCCTTCCTAAATTTTCTAAAACATCTAAAAGGATGCTCTCACATCTTCTCATGGCAGCACGGTGCCTAGTGGCACTTGAATGGAAGCAGCATGAGCCACCTTCTCTGATGGAGCTTCATGCTAGGATATGGGATGTCCAAAAGATGGAATATCTAATGCTCATCTTGAATGGCTTTTTGAATAAACATAATAGGGTTTTGGAGTTGTGGGACACCTTTGAATATCCACCTTGGCTATTCCCAGTTAGCACTATAGGTACTTTGCTCTTTTCCGCGTCAGGGTGCAGGAGCAGGTCTGCAGGTCTTACCTGGTCGTTGAGCGCATCGGAAATCCTCTTTTTCTTTCTCTCCCCACTCCTTCCTCTTTCCTTTTTCTTAATCTTTTATCCACGATTATCCACCTAAAAGGCCTACCTGATAATGTCAAGTTTCTGCCAGTATGTGTGTTTTATATATGCGTTGCTGGTCTCTTTTGAGTTATAATACAATTCCTATGTGCTGTCTTGATTATTATGATTTCTGCTGTTTTTGAAAGTTGAGAATTGGGATAAGCATCATAAACCTGCTCTGGACTTGTTTGTGAGATATGGATTCTGTTATCTGTTTTGTACATCCTTTCATAGTTTTTTTTTTTTTTTTTTTTTTTTAAATGCTACATGTGTGCATTTTAATACAACTCATGTAAATGCATATCAACGCAAAGGCTATTGAGAAAAAAAATCTTTACAAATGTTTATCCTTTACCCATATGGCAGCCATCTTAGAGGGAAAGTAGAGAATGTGCAGTGAAAATCTTGCTAGCAAGGGGTCTGAATGGAAGGGTTTATAGAAATATATGAGTGACATTGTAAGTCCTGGTCTAGGATTCAAAACTGCCCTTTACTCTCATGTTATGTGATCAATGGATGCCCTCAGTAGCCCTGTTTGGCTTGCCCCAATCTCCTCATCTGTTTTCTCCTTCGTTTCGTTAGAACATTCACAATAATCAGGATTGTTTGGCTAGACAACCTGTTTGACAATGCCTTTCCTTTCTGTCTTTCTCTATTTTTCTTCACTCTTTCTCTCACCCACAAACAGGAAAAGAATTTGATATCAGAGGAAAAAAAACCTGTAAAACACATAGCAATTTAACACGCATAAAAACATGTTAATGCACATAAAAATATGTCGTTGTACGTCAACTGAAGGCAATGCTCATCCATTTTTTGAGCATTTTAATGCACATTTATGTATGAAGAGGCCCTTAAAGTGGTTGTAAAACTAGAAGTTTTTTTTACCCCAATGCATTCTATGCATTATAGCAAATAAATGTCTTTGGTCTGCTGTTCACCCAGTCCCTCCTTATATTACCTGAACCTGATCTCGATCCAGCAACGTGCATGGGAGCAGCGGCTCTCTCGACTCTCTCCCTCCATATTAACTTAGAGACAGCAGCAGGAGACATTGACTCTTGCTGCTGTCAATCACAGTAAGTGGCACACAGTGGACACACAGAGCGAGGTTCGGGAGTGAGCCCGTATGAGTGCCCCCATAGCAAGCAGCTTGCTATGGGTGCCCTCGGCAGGAGGGAGGAGCCAGGAGTACTGGTGAGGGACCCGAGAAGATAAGGATCGGGATTGCACTGTGCAAAACCACGCACAGAGCAGATAAGCATGACATGTTTATTATTTTTAAAAAAATAATAATAATTGAAGGTTTACAATCACTTTAAGATTTTATCTAACTTTTGTATTTTTTGTTTTTCCCCAGAACAAGTTTACCATCACCGATGTTTTCCAGAAATGATTTTAGTATTTGGAGTATTTTAAGAAAATGCATTGGAATGGTGAGCATATTTACCTATTTATTCATTTGAAAGTGCTTATGTTATTTTTCTGGCTATCTCTTTGGTATACAATGTTTTGTAAAAAAGTACATTTCTGTTTTCTATTAAATATTCTATGAGCCAATTAGTATTAATGTTTACCTTTTAAAGGGTAACCAAACATAGTAGCAAAAATTTATTGCAGCGTATGTTTTTTTTATTTTAAGCTAAAAACATTTTCAGCAAGAACAGAAAATAGTGTCCTTGTCACTTCATGTAATCTGCACTGAAGAATATCTTCCCTCCCAGCTATCTTCTCTAAGTTACCAATGGCCCTGCCCCCCATGTAAAGGAGATGAAGAGATACGGACATGTTTGTAGTCAGGAGACCAGCCTACGGTGACAACCATGGCTCCCTTCATTGATACTGTTAAGGAGTGATGTAGCCACCGTAGGAGAGGAAATGTGTTATTTGCAGGAGAACCAAGGAAAAAAGAAAAGTAGAGACAGTCATCACACCAGGGACTAGTAAATTTCAATACTTCATTTTGATCTTGGGTTTAGATGCACTTTAAACCTGTACAAGCAACAGCAGTTTGAAAGTGGACCTAAGTTATATAGAAAATTTAGAAACATTAATTGTACCTAAATAGTACCCTGAAAAATGAATCTTTTGTCTGGAATTCTTCCTTAAAAAATAACAGCACACTGGTATGTGAGGCTGCCTAGGCACTCCTGTGTCTACAGCTCCATAGCTGTATATCTGCAGTGTGAGATCTAAGGCACTGCTGCCCCTGACTGACAAAGCAAAGATGGCAGCCTCCACAAAGACAGTAATGGGGTACGATCAGCTGCAGAGAAACCACAGGCAATACTGGAGGTGATTTGCCTTCTGCCTGCCTTTTTTTTGGCACCACTTCCACAAGAGTTCAGTTCCTTTTTAAGACTTACCATCCATTCTTAACAAAGGTTCTGTGAAACCTTAGGGTTCCTCCAGAATTTGCCCGGGGTTCTTTGAGCAATGAGCAGCTTCTGCCTCTCAGATGAATAACCGCTGATAACAATAATCTTTTTTGGTGTTTGTAAGGGAGGGGGCATTCTTCCCAATGATTGTAAATGTAAGGACCATTATTCCTAGTGAACATCATACTAATATACTGTGAGCTGTAAATACAGAATTTTTAGCAGGGGTTCCCCATGCCTGCATAGTTATTTCAGGGGTTCTCCCAAATTGAAAGAGTTTAGAAAGGCTGATTGAAGATGAATGTGTTGTTGAGGAAGCCAACAGACGTCCTTTTTGGTGAGCTTTAGATGTGACCGCTTCTAGCACTGCACATTGTGATTGGCCTGTGATAAGTAACATTTCCCGGTGCTCATTTTCTGTATTAGTTGGAATTATTAATTCAGAAGTGAGAAGGAATCTTCACCACAAATGGTTTGAATGTGTTGAATCTCTTTCAGAAAGAAAATCATAGCAGGCCCTCAAAGATGGGCAGATTTCTCATGGTTGGTGAGCAATCTACCCATTGGTGACCATACCTCTTTTAATATGACTGACCGTTTACAAAAATAGGTTGTGGGCAAGATTAATACTGCATGTCTACTTTTGTGCAGAACTAGATTACTTTTTTCATGCATATCTGTATATGCATTGTACTCTGGTTTTCTCCTGCTCCAAAAGCATGCTGGTATCCAGACTTGCTTGGCTCCTGCCTAGACTGGCCTTAATGTGTGTATGTATGAATGTAAGGTAGGAACCTTGGATTGTAAGCACCTTTAGGGCAGAGACTGATGTGAATGTACAATACATTGCATCCAGAAAGTTGTCACAGCGCTTAACTTTTACCACATTTTGTTATGTTACAGCCTTATTCCAAAATTTATTAAATTCATTTTTTTTCTCAACATTCTACAAACAATACCCCATAATGACGTGAAAAGTTCATTTTGAAATCTTTGCAATTTATTAAAAATAAAAAAACAAAAAAAAAAACACATGTACATAAGTATTCACAGCCTTTGCTCAGTACTTTGTTGAAGCACCTTTAACACCAATTACATCCTCAAGTCGTTTTGAGTATGATGCTACACCTATTTTTGGGCAGTTTCTCCCATTATTCTTTGCAGTATCTCTCAAGCTCCATCAGGTTGGATGGGGAGTATTGGTGCACAGCCATTTTCAGATGGTTAATCGGGTTCAAGTCTGGGCTCTGGCTGGGCCACTCCAGGACATTCACAGAGTTGGCCCACAGCCACTCCTTTGTTATGTGGGCTGTGTGCTCTGGGTCTTTGCCCTGTTGAAACATGAATCTTCGCCCCAGTCTAAGGTCTAGAGTGCCCTGGAATAGGTTTTTATCAAGGATGTCTCTGTACATTGCTGCATTCATCTTTCCTTCCATCCTGACTAGTCCCCCAGTTCATGCGCTGAAAAACATTCGCACAGCATGATGCTGCCACCACCATGCTTCACTGTAGGGATGGTATTGGCCAGGTGGTGAGCGGTGCCTGGTTTCCTCCAGACATGATGCTTGGTTTTCAGGCCAAAGAGTTCAATCTTTGTTTCATCAGACCAGAGTTTTGTTTCTCATGGTCTGAGAGTCCCTCAGGTGTCTTTTGGCAAACTCCAGGCAGGCTGCCATTTGCCTTTTACTGAGGAGTGGCTTCCATCTGGCCACTCTACCATACAGGCCTGATTGATGGACTGCTGCAGAGATGGTTGTTCTTCATAAAGGTTTTCCTCTCTCCACAGAGAAACGCTGGAGCTCTTTCAGAGTGACCATAGGGTGCTTGGTTACCTCCCTGGCTAAGGCCCTTCTCCCTCGAACACTCATTTTGGCCAGGTGGCCTGCTCTAGGAAGATCCCTGGCGGTTCCAAACTTCTTCCATTTACGGATGATGGAGGCCACTGTGCTCATTGGGACCTTCAATGCTGCAGAAATTTTTCTGTACCCTTCCCCAGATCTATGCCTTAATACATCCTGTCTCGGAGGTCTACAGACAATTCCTTGGACTTCATGGCTTGTTTTGTGCCCTGACATGCACTGTTAACTATGGGACCTTATATAGACAGGTTTATGCTTTTCCTAATCATGTCCAATCAACTGAATTTCCCATAGGTGGACTCCAATCAAGTTGTGGAAACATCTCAAGGATGAACAGTGGGAACAGGATGCACCAGAGATCAATTTTGAGTGTCATGGCAAAGGCTTTGAATATTTATGTACATGTGTTTTTTTGCGTTTCTTATTTTTAATAAATTGCAAAGATTTCAAAAGGAACTTCTTTCATGTTATCATTAGGGGTTATTGTTTGTAGAATGTTGAGGAAAAAAATGAATTTAATCAATTTTCGAATAAGGCTGTAACATAACAAAATGTATCAAAAGTTAAGCACTGAGAATACTTTCTGGATGCACTGTATGTGTAAAGCTTTGCGTACATTGTCAGTGCTATTAATGTCTGAAATATATAAGATATTTAAGTCTTTTTTAGGTTTATTAGTGTTCTAACCTTAGAAATGCTTTGGTTAGTAACTGGATAGCCATTTTTTAATCTTAATATAGCTTTTGGAGGTAAAGTTTTATTCTGTGTATTAGTGGCTGCAAGTCTAATGTATATGCAGTGACTGTAGTGATGAGATGGCAGTAATTATTTATATGCATGTAATTCTATTCCTCCTATTGTCTATTAGCACACAGAAGGTGCATGCCTCCATCTAAATAGATGCTACGCAGTTCAAACAACATTTTCGTATGTTTCATAGAAATTAGTCGGTCTTTTATCTTCATCTTTGGAAATTCCTTCATATTTTCATCTGTAGATATTATACTTTGTGGTGCTACATGAATCCCAGCAATTTCCAGCAACATACATATTTTTTTTACTTTTCATTAAGGCCTAAATACAAAATAAAAAGCACATAAATTAGCACAAAGGACATAACTTACAGTCAGAAGGATGTGTCCTTTGTGCTGATGTCTCTTCTTTTAGCTGAAATTCTCCTCCATCTATGCCTTCGACCTCCCACATCCTCACTTCTCTAATTTTCTGGTTTGACGGGTTAATACACAAACTTCCCTCAAAAAGTCCCTTTTGTTGATTTTTTTTTTTTTTTTTTTTTTTTAAATTTTGGCTGCATATAGGCTTTAAGGGGCACAGGATTAAGAGATAATTTGATTTTACTGCCACCTGCAGGACAATTTGGACACTGGCAAGCAAAAAAAAACAGTTGCAAACTTTAGTATAGATCCTCCCACTCCCAGTACGCTTCAGTTTTTTTTTTTTGCTAGTATCCTAGGGCAGTGGTCGGCAAGCCGCGGCTCGCGAGCCACATGCGGCTCTTTACACACTTTAATGCGGCTCTTCTGTGTGCCGGGCGCCCGCTCCCCTCCCTCCTCTCGGGCGGCCACCCCAAAAGTCAGTCAGGACTCTGCAGCTAGCCCAGCAATGGGCAAACTACGGCCCGGCGGACCTTTTAATCCGGCCCGCGGAGCGTGATCCAAAAAAAAAAAAAAAACAGCCAGGGCAGCGCGCTCAAATGCAATGATTGGCCAGTCTCGCTGCCACTCACATCCTGATAGCCAGTGAATGGCTGTCAGGATGTGTGTAGGCGGGGCAGCGTGACGAACGTGAGAGGAGCTAGGCTCCTCTCACAGTCCGCCCTGAAGACCGGAACGGCGCGGGAACACGGCGAGAAGAACGCGCGGAGCAAAGGTAAGTGAATTGACACAGGGGGGACTTGGCTTACTACTTGCTACTTACTTACTACTACTATATGAGGGATGAATTAATATGGGGGATGAATTTACTATATGGGGGATGGGGGGGGATGAATTACTATGGGGGATGAATTACTATAGGGGGGATGAATTACTATAGGGGGGATGAATTACTATATGGGGGATGAATTACTATATGGGGGATGAATTACTATATGGGGGATGAATTACTATGGGGAATGAATTACTATGGGGGATGAATTACTATAAAAACTTATTGAAACTAAAAACAGTGTACCATCCT